AAATAACATACAATTCATATTTGTCATAGTGATACCCAAATATTTTACTTTTTTCTCAATCCTAAAACACATTTTCTTCATTAGTTCTGTTTGATCCTCTATTTTCATGTTTTTTGTTAACATCTTTGTCTTCTGATTGTTAATCTTAAAGCCTGCTAATGTATCAAATTCTTTTAATTTTCCCATTAATGTTTCTATTCCCTTTAGTGGATCTTCCAAAACCAACCCCAGATCATCAGCAAATGCCCTTAACTTATAGGTTTCTTTTTTAATCTTTACTCCCACAATTCTCTCATCTTGTCTTTTATTTCTATTCAATACAGTGTATTTCAAGAACTAACATAAACAGGAGACTAGACAACAGGCATCCCTGTCTTGTCTCTTTCTGTATCTCACAGGGTTTTGTTAGATCTCCATTAACAATTATTTCTGCTTTCTGTGAAGTGTAAATCAATCTTACCCGCTTAATAAAATTCTCTTCAAAATTCCTATCTTCCAAACTTTAAACAGGAAGGCCCAGTTCAAATTGTCAAAGGCCTTCTCTGCACCTAAGAAAATCAGCGTGGCTTGTTTTTCATTATGTTGCTCCAAGTATTCCGAAAATGTCCAACACATTTCTTATATTATCCTTTAACTGTCTTTTAGGTAAAAACCCACATTGATCCTCATGAATACATTCTTGTAAAATTATTTTCAGCTTCTCAGCCAAAATCGTTGTAAGCAACATAGTCATTATTCACTAATGATATCAGCCGACAGTTTCTTGTTAAAGTCAAATCTTGTCCCTCCTTAGGTATTAATGCTATATTGGCCACTTTCCAACTCTCTGACGTCTTTCCCCTCTATAAAATAGAATTCATCATATTTTGTAAAGGCTGTAAAAGTTCATCCTCAAAACATTTATAGTAAGAAGCCAGTAGCCCATCTGGTCCACGATCCTTTCCTGTTTTAGTCTTTTTTAATAGCTTCACAAACTTCCCTTATTGTTATGGGTCCATTCATAATCTGTTTCTGTTTCTCTGTAATCTTCGGTAAATTTGTTTCTTTAAATATTCATCTATTTTCTCTAGGGAAATTTCTTGTCCTTTATATCAA